GCGGGATCCAATTCAAAGATTAAGGAACAACGCAATCATTAACATTAACTGAAATAGATAATTAGATAATTTTAGCTTACACCGTCCATTATACATTAAACGCGCAGGCGAAAACGTATTCTGCACTTGCGCACACGCATATGCGCAGTAGTCAAGGTCTTACGCGCACGCGTAAAACGGCTGTGCGCATGTGCCGACGCGGCGCATGCGCAGAAAGTTTTTAGCTTTGAGGTCCGGATTATGGGTGTCCGAATTAACGACTTTTGACTGTATAACTTGGCTAATAAATGTGATAAAAAATATTACATACCTAAATCTTATAGAAAAAAAGCCTTCCAACATTCATATTTGAAATGAGATAACCTAACAAACAACACACACTATCTTAAAATATTTTAAAATAGTGTATGTTGACATATTTAGTGTATGTGGCAATATTTTAAAAAACACATAAACTATGCAGTGTTTGAAAGTTACCAGAAAAAAGTAACAGAACTGCTATTTCCAATTAATAAAAAATCATTTAATGTTTTTTAAATAGCAAGCTGTTAAAAGTACAATAAGTAGTAGCAATGCTGATGATTTTTAACATCATTTCTTTCGATCATATGTAAATATATTTATATACATTTATTTTAGACAATGGCAGGTTCTCACGGCTAGTTTATTCATTTTTTCAAATCAATAACATTCCTTTGGGTACTTTCCCTTGGCTACTGCACAGAAATGATTTGAATAATATACACAATAGTAAGAACTGCACATTTAAATCTGCTATTCATTAAATAGCTCACAATAAAAAGTTTTTCCCCATTTTTCTTGAATTTTATTGCTATCACAAGCATGTACAAAAATTAGCAATGAAAATGGAATGTATTCAAATGTAATAATTAAAAAACATAACTTGCAACGTTCGTATTCATACAAGAGATATACTACAAATTCCAAGAGAAAAATAACAGAACTGCAATTTGCACTTAATGTAAAATTTAATATTTTTTAAATATATGATTTAAAAATGCAATAATTATGGATTAGAATATTTAGTAGTAATGCTGATGTTTCTTGGCATATGATGTTTTCTTTCAATCATATGCAGGTGTATATACATATTTTTAGTTTCTAAATTTTAGGATAATGGGAATTACGATTATCATTTATATGCTTATTATTATTTTTATAGCCAGTTGTGCATGTTGTTTGTTAGGTTATTTCATTTCAAATATGAATGTTGGAAGGCCTTTTTTGTTATAAGATTTAGGTATGTTTCTTGTAGGAAATATTTTTTGTCACATTTATTAGCTAATTTATATAGTATTTCATTTACATAGGCTGGAGATATAGAAGATGATGGTTATATATTTTGCTCTGAAATGCAAATAAATTAATACTTGAGCCTAGGTAAAATATTATCTTAAGAAACCCTTCCCAATTTATCATGACAATGGCAATTTTCAATCAGCGTTTAAATTTTTGTAAAGTGTTCGTTTGTTTTTCAGTTCTTTCAATTATATTTATGCACAAAGTTAATTAAAATATTAATTAAAAAATTAATTAACAATAATAATTTAATATAATAAAGCTTAGAAAGTGTTTATGTATATAAAGCCTCCTTTCTTTCAACTATTTTAATTAACTAAGCAACATGATAAAGTTATATTTCCGACGAAAATTTAAAAATCCAGATGAATTTCCGACGATAACATCGAATGGAAAGCTCCGCCATGTTTATTAAGTGTCATGGCCTTCTCCCTCTCAAAGATCACGGCTGTACTTAGGATTTCAGTGACCTTAGCATTTCTAATTTTTACATAGTCCATTTAGGTTTCTTCTTTATCCTCAACAAAACTCGTTACATCATTAAATTTTTTATTTTTCTCAGGATCTAGAGTGTGAATGATTTCTTCATTAGATAAAACTTGATTTGTTGTTTTCTGTGTTAATTATTTTGAAATGTCTTTTTAAGCAATATCATAGCAGCCTTTTATCTCCTTTGAAATAAGTGTATGACTACATTGTCGGTGTCTGACTGCTAATGATGCTTTTTCCTTTTCCATTTCTTTCTAAACTTTTAGCAAAAAAATGGCAGATTGCCTAGTCTTCTGTATTTAGTCTGAGGCTTTAGCGCATGCATAAAAATTATTTTATATCATATATGTTTCAGTGCTTTGCTAATAACATGTTGGTTTTTAAATATGAGAAATTAATCCCACCTCCTGTGATAGCTTTGTGGCTTCAATGACACTTTCTTCTATCGATTTTATGACAGAGGGGGCATTAGTAGATATATAAATCCCTTTTTCTTATCCTGACAACAATATTTCTACATTCGAATGACACAAGGTGCTTTTATGATTAATGTGACTTTTTGCAACTGATTTAATTTATTTGAATATTGTTTTATATGTGGAACTCATGTTGAGTAACCACATTATAAAATCTTTTCACTTATCCTTGCGGATGTCTTATTTGTGTAGTGGATTGGCAAAAAAATGCCAGTAATATTCTGGAATGTGCTGGGCTTAACATATTTCCTGATTAAAAGCAATATCAGTGTTTCACTGCCACCAGCATCACTGCAAAACAATTTTGAGGCCTGAGCCTTTTTTTTTTTTTTTTTACTTTTCTTATATTCTTTGCCCATTTTTGTATCCTTATAAGCATGCATAGCACAATAGGAAGACCATTTAAAGACCCATCTGGTGACCAAACAACCAATCACTTATGGCAAAACTCAATGGTATGCATTTTCAATACATCCTTTCTTAAACCGTGTTATATTTTTCCAATGATTTCTTCAACCTGTTTGTCAGCGTAATTAACAGAAACCTCAACTGATAGAAGGCCTAAATGAAAGAGGTTCTACTGTATTATTAATAGCAAATTTTAAATTATAAAATGATACTGTATTTTTTGATGCATGAAAAATTTAACTAACTTGAATTATTTTTTAAATATAATAAATAATATGATAAATTTAAAAATACACTGATTAATAAAAATTTAATTTTGTTTATCAGTTTTATTGAGAAAACGTACAAAGTAATAGTAATAAAGAATATTTTGAACTATTGTATTTTAGGGTATCATAAAATATTTATTAATGCACACATATATAAACATAAGATATATATATATAAGATTAAAAATATGTAAATCAAAATTATGATTTAAACTAATGGTAACCCTTTAATTCTCCCTCTCTGTTCTTAAAAAACATAATAATTTCTCTGTGTCATTTCTAGGTTATTCCATTTTGCATGGCCTGTGCAGTGCTGGTGACATAATAATTGAGAACTGAAACTTAAACCAAAACCTTACTCTTCGTGTGCTTCCATATTCCATATTGCACTTTAGCTTGAACTTTAGCTGTGGTGCTTCATCACTGTTTCACTGTGTTCGCTTCGTGTCTCTAAAGTATCAAAAATGTAAATATTCTGTGATTAGGCATGACTAGAGTGCCAAATGATTGTGGCCACAACTGTCAACTGGAAATAAAAATGGAATTAAACTGCCTCAACTGCCAAGTTTCTTTGATATTACTAAGTTAACATATTAGCATACAACACAATCAGAATTCTTCCTCTTCAGTGGGGATCGACGATCTATCCTATCTGGGTATTACGCATCAAAAGCTCTCTGTCTTTTTCTTGCTATTATTACATATATGTATATGAATCTTTAAAAGGTTAGGATTAAAATACCTAGAAAAGTAAAAAACCTAGGTAAAAAACCACACACACATATACGTGTTTGGGTGCCTATTTGAAATTGAATCAAATAGGATGACTAGTATTTAAATAGCTGTGCCATGTGGTAGTATATCATATGCAGGCAGCTGAATGAGCCGATTGCATGAGGTTTTCATGATTTTTCTCATGTACACATGAGTGAAGGTTTTTTTTTTTTAAAACGAAAATCTTTCACAAATGCCTCCTTCAAAAAATCTTTTTAGTATGAATTGTCAAGTGTAATCAAAATAAAAATCATCCAAAAATTAAATTCTGCTTTCTATATAAAATATTTTCATTATTATTAGTTAGTATACTATTTGTTTTGGGAATTTGTGATACACTGAAAAACCTAAAACTGGCCTTTTCTCATTAACTTGCATCATGTATACATCATGACTAATTAGTGTATAAAATTATTCATAGTTGAATTTCACTCTGTTATGTATTTATTAAATTAATTTCTAATAGCATTCCTTTTTCAAAATGAAACAAGACCTAGCTACATTTATTCATATATTTTCTCTCTTGTTTTTACTTATTCTGCCCTTTAAAAATCAATAGGGAAAAATTATGCAGTGTGTTTCATTTGTGAAGGGAAAAATTAAAAGGGCAACTTGTAAGATGAAAAACTGTTGTATTCTGTATTCTGTGTATCATAGAAGTCAGTGACAATTAATATTTTCAATTCTGCTGTTTGTATATACAATGCACTGTCTAGGCCTTCTACTTTGCTGTTATAAAACAGAAGTTTCAAAATTATATACTGTGAAAGTTTAGATGAAATATGTGAGCAAACATTACTTAATGACTCGAAAGATAGTTTGCAGTTTGTCAATTTGATTTTTTTTAAATCTACTGAATATCTTTTTTAGTATTGAGTTGCTGTTACAATTTCATATCTGAATAGAATTAAAATTAACATAATTGTATAATGAAGATTATTACAAATATTGTGTTTTTTATTTAATTCATACATTATACCTATTCCTCAATTTACAGGTAAGATAGTTTCCGCACACAAAACCGTATAAATTGAAATCTTGGATTTTGCTATGTAAAACCATGTAAAATGAAAAGCACACTAAATGTGCATAATTTAGTTATTTATTTACATGAAACAAAAGTAAGACATCTTAAAATAAATATATTTCAAGTTTTTTAAATCCATTAATTTTTAAATCGTGTAAAATGATTACTGTGTAAATCGAGGGGTAGGTGTATTCCTAGTTTGTATTGTATTAAAAGTTCTTTTTCTTTTTAATTTAGAGAGTGCTGTAATCCTAAATTAAAAAAGTTTGGTGGAAAAGCTAAAGATTATTCACCTAGAGCTAGAATACGAAGTTTTCTTGGGTAAATGAGTTTATCTTATTATATTATGTGTTATGCAATATTTATGGTATATTTATAATAATCTGTTTTAAAAGGTATTAATTTGTGGAAATAAAGCAACAAATAGTTAAAACTTATTGTAAAAAATTTACATGGCGATAAATTTTACATATTAAGGATATACTTCATTTTGAGAATATTTTACTCACAATTATTTTGTTTCTTTTTTAAAAAATTATGATTTAATAGTCCATTCTCTCGTCATTTTAGCAATTCAGAACTTAATTTATTGTATTTAGTTATAGAAAGTAATTTTTATTATCTTTTTGTGTTTTTATTTCTGAAAGTCGCTACTAAAACAATAAAAGTGTTCTGTAAGAGTTTTTCCCTCAATCATGCAGATGTCAAATAAATTGATATTTATCAAACAAAAGTCAGAATTTTGCATTGTAAAATAATCAATAAGATTGATGCATTAGCCCTCAAGCATTCATGTTTAATTTTGTACAGTCAAAAGTCGTTAATCCGGACTCGTAGGGACTTCGGCGATTCCGGATTATAGATCATCAGTTTAAATCTAGTAAGATGGCATGCAGAAATTACAAAATTAAAAATATGAAACCATAATTTATGAAATAAAGAACAATTATGATCTAAAGGGCATCAAAATTTACAAAAAGAAAAAGCTTAATATTTATTGCTTTGTTTCATGTGATAATACTTTCTCTTTTAATTCTATTAAACAGACATAATTTCTTGTTTAGTTACAAAGTTCCGCTGTTTAAGTCCTATAATTGTTGTGTCGAGAATACCAACTAATTTGTCAATCGAAATGTTTTTGTTTTCAATAACCTTTCTGTCACTTTCTTCACTATCGGAAGCGAATTATAATGACGAGGAACTTGATTTAAATCATATCAAAGACGGAGTACATCGAGATGAAATACTACATTTAGTAAGGAATTATAAGCCAAATAAAATAAAAAAACATCTGCCCTGAAGATAAGGATAGTGCTGACAGATTAACTTCCAATTCATTGCGCACCGCGGCTTTTCTCCCCCCCCCCCTGCTGCCGCAGAGCAGCATGAAATTGATAAACAGAATTCGGATTTCAAAACATACTTTCGCTTTGTAGATCCTTTACATATTAGTAAATATATATCGGAAATTCTATTTGACATAGTCGAAAGTTCAAGCTTACTTTTATAAAATTGCTCTAACAGTCTGCAAAAAATAATAAGCCGGATCCAATTCGAAGATTAAGGAACAACACAATCTGCAACATTAACTGAATTAGATAATTTTAGCTTAGCTTATACCGTCCATTATACATTAAACATGCATGCGTAAACGTATTATGCGCTTGCGCACACGCATATTCGCAGCCGTAAAGGTCTTACGCGCACGCGTAAATGCCTATGCGCATGTGTCAAAGCGACGCATGCGCAGAAAGTTTGTAGCTTTGAGGTCTGGATTATGGGTGTCTGAATTAACGACTTTTGACTGTACATATTTCTTATCCCCCCCCAAGAAAAATCTGGAAGCTTTCAGATTTTATATTACGCCCAAAGGGGCATTTTGTAAATGTTTTGTGTGTTACCTTTATTTATTAAGTATCATGTTCTTCACACTTAAACCACACAAAATTCACTTCAACAGTAATATCACAAAATATTTAAAAACAGAATTAGAATTTCTGATAGACAGTCTCGCACGGAGGATAAAAATGTTTCTTTCCCATACAGTGTTGTTACCAATTGCTCTATTTGAAATCAATGAGTTTGTTAATAAAAATTCTTTAAAGTTTTATAAAATATGAAATAGACAATAAAACAAATTTGAAATAAAAGATTCGGCCTTCCAGGTGCGCATGTTCAGGTGGAGGATTATGATATTCAAAATTTGATGGCTGTACATATCGTTGTTTTTCCACAGTGTGAGAAACATGCGCACAATCATGGAGTTTCTTCATTATTTGATTTCTTTAAATATATTACAGGGCAATAATATTTGGTGGCAACAATATGAAAACTGATACGCCATTTATAGGGAACCGACGCAAATGCGATTTCGAGACTAATAGCCCTTATGAGCTAATGCTCCTTTGGGTTAAAAACTAAAAATGAAGCTACAGTGAACTTTTGGTTATTTGTGCCCAGATTATCTGTGCATCATCCACTTCCCCCGAACATGTAAAAATAAATAAAATATTAAATTATCCTAAGTTACATTACTTTTTCTCTTCTTTCTGCTTAACTAGGAATCTCCAGGACAGTTTTACATAAAGATATTACTGTTGGAGTTTATTATGCAGTAAGAAGTCTGATGGAATGTTTTGAATTTTGTTGGTTGAGGATTAAATCCTACATTTAATCTGAGAGTGATTGATTCTTCATTTAGAGCTTGATGAGAGCTCTTAATGACTGTTGCATTTTAAAATTTGCTTCATATAGAAATCTATCAATTTTATTTTATTAAACTCTCTTTTACACAGTATGTTATGTTCCATACAATAAATTAAGTTCTGAATTGCTAAAATGACAAAAGAATAGACTGTTAAATCATAACTTTTTTAAGTAGAAACTGAAAATAATTGTAAGTAAAAAAAATCTTACGCATATGCTTAATATGCAAGATTCATCACCATGGAAATTTATTTAGTTCTTCACTCTTGAAAAGTACCTCACAGTTGCCATTCTATATACTGCACAAATTAAGTAGCACCTGAATTGTTGAGAGGTGACCTTAAAAATAATTTTGCTTAGTGTTATGCTGTTAAATTTTTAATTGCTAATTAAATTGAATTTGAGGGAAAATATAAAACAAAATCTTAGTATATCTGATAAATTAATTAGCATTAGCTGTTTAAAATTACTAGTCCTAATTTAAATTTTTACAAAACTTTTGACATAATTTGAGATGTAGAATAGAATCATGTTCTAAGGAAAAATCGGTATTTGATTTTAGAAAAGATCCAATTTTGTATCAAAATTCAAATGTTAGAACAGTGCCATGTATAAATTTAATATATATTTTTTAAGTCATGCTTTCAAGGGATGAAAAATTACAAGTTGAATTTTTTGGGTCAGCCAGCTAGATCGGGAAATTGAGAACTGCAGGTGTGCTTTCTTTTTGTTTTTTAACTTGTCAAACGTGCTTCTTCATGGTCCAATTTCAATAAACTTTTGAAAATTGGAGCCTAATCATTTATTGCCATTCAATCAGCATTAAAACATGGACTGGATGTTAATTGCCATGATCTGCTTTCAGCATAAGATTGTAAATAATCATTTTTCCTAGTTTAATAGATGGGACCTTGCTAAAATCTGATTGCCGTTCTATAAGGTAACTGCTCAGTTCCTTGTAACAGAGCATAAAAATCTCTTACAACCTTGATAATTAATGGCATACTATATGGCTACATTACACAGTCTAAAGAGAAAGGCTGGCAGTAGTTTTAGGTGCTTCCCACACTAAAAAAAAAAAAAAAAAAAAAAAAAAAAATGTCCTCCAATATCATTTTTTTTTTTTTTCATTTTCTGTTAATAATAGAAGAGAATATAGAAGATATAAAGCATCAAACCCACATTTTAAACATTTAAATTGTATTTTAATCAAAAATGCACAACTTAAAAATTAATTAAGCATGTATGTATAAAAATATAGTTAATATTGTATTTTAATCAGAAATACATAACTTAAAAATTAATTAAACATGTATGTATAAAAATATAGTTAATTTTTTTTTTTACATCTAAATTTGTATTTTTGTATACTTAAGTTCCCCCCCTCCCAGTTCGACATACTTATAATTTTCAACTGCTATTAATGTAAGTCTCAAAAATCTTTCTTGCCATGTACTGCTACATAAATAAGGTTTAATTAATTTTTGCTTGGAAAATAATCTTTTATCCATTTCAGCACCAAAAGGCAAAGTCAATAGTATTCATAATGAAATGGACAAATTAGGAAAAATAAATCTTTAAAAGAAGTCAACTACAAAATCTGAAATGGATTTTGAGTTCTATATTTTTAAATATCTTTAAATTTATTCCCAAAATTGTTAATCTCCTCTTTATTGATTTGAATAAATTGTATTGGAAATTAATTCAGTTGACTAATTAATAGATTTTAATAAATTATATTGGAAACTAAAATTACCATTGTGTGATTTTAATAGATTAAATAAATTATCATGTAAGGAATCCCCTTGCAATATTAAAACTGTATAAAATAAATAATTCTAAATTTGTGTTCAGGCTTTTGCAGTAAGATATTTATGTACTGAAACTGACGTGTGTTTTGCTTTCATTAAAGTTTAGCTGCAGATTTAAGTTCAAATTCCTGATATATGTCTTCACTAAGTTTTTTGGCAATTTTAAGCCTATTGCTGTGATTAGAATTTGATATACAAGTATATTGTAAGAAAAATGTTTGTTTCCTCAGTGAATTCTAAAGCAAGTTTAATAGTTATGGTTTTATTTTGAAGTCGTTTCCCGATAAGATTTATTCGCTTAAGAATTTGTACCAAATTATCAGAGAGGAAATAAATTTTTGACCCTCAAATTTTGTGCTTCATGTCATAATTAAATGTTAAAATGTGGCACTCATTACTTCATAAAATAAAGATTAAAGTTTCTTGTAGATGATATCTTTGAATTTGTATCCCAACCAAATATCTGATAACTTCTTTGGCATTAAATTGAATTCAAAGAATTACTTAACTGTTTGCTGATGAAGTGAAAAATAAATATTTGGTTGAAGATATAAATGAAATATTCTTAAACTGAAAACAGCAGAGTGAAATAAAATTACAATTTTTAAATTTGAGATGGGGGAAAAAAAAAAACAGCACATGTAGATATAAGTGAAATTAGAGTCCTTTTTTTTTTTTTTTTTTTTTTTTTAGAGTGAATGGACAGAATATTAGTTTATTTAATGGTAGTTTTAATTTTACGAGTCAGAAGCTGAAGAATCTTTTAGGGTACGAACCTTCTATTGCAAATTTTCCAGTTCTGTC